TTGTCACTGCTCACTGAATAAAATCCAGACTCCTTGGCATGACACATAGACCCTCCAGGATCTGATCCTTTCTAACTCAACTTCTCCCCTCCTGCAATCTGCCATATAGTCTCAAACCACATAGACTCAATTGTAGAAAAAAAAAATGTTTTTGCCTTGAATGCTTTGCCTTCTCCAACTGGCTAACCCTTTGTTATCCTTTGTAGCTCAGCTGAAAAAATCCCCCTGCTCAAAGACACCTTCCTGGCCTGAATTAGAGCTGCTCTTCCCATAATGCTACTTCCATCACAGATTTTACCAGATTATATTTACTAGTGGTTTGCCTTCCTAGTGTTTCCACTAAATTATAATCTTCTGGAAGGCAGAAACTGCCTTTTGCTACAGGAACTCAGATACTACTTTTGAACCTGTGACTCTGAGAGGCAGCATAGCAGAATGGTTAGGAGCATAGACTCTGAATGAAGCCCAAGTGACTTTAGGTGAGTTACATAAGTGGAGTCTCCATTTCCTCAACCTGTAAAATTAGGATAACAGTACACCTATTTCAGAGGGTTACTGTGAAGAGTAAACAAGTTAACATCATCTTTTAGGTTTTTGTCCTTGTGTGAACACCGCAATGTACTTGTAGTCCTAGATGGTGTAGCCTACTACACACCCAGGCTTTATGGTATAGCCTATGCAGGGATGTCCAGCTTGCTTTTTCTCTACTGCACATTGGAAGAATAAGAGTTGTTTTGGACCACACATTAAATACACAAACACCAACAAAAGCTGATAAGCAGAAAATAAAAAAGGTCCATGCATACTTTTTGTGATAGCTGACACCGCAGATAGGCCCAAAAAAAAAAAAAAGAAATCCTCACACAAACAGCATAACATGGCTGACTATGAGAAGCCTAGCAGACCAAGTAAACATCTATAGAGAAACATCTTAACTGAAAATCTTGGCCAAACAACTCTTGCTTCATGACAGTGCACCAGCTCACATAAGCACTGAGGGAGTTTTGAGCCAATAAGCAAGTTAACTCATATGACCTGGCCCCCAATGACTTTTTTCCTTTACCCAAAGATAAAGGAAATATTTAAAGGAAGACATTTTGATGATATTCAGAACATCAAGGATAATGGCCATCAACTCTGATGGCCATTTCCAGAAAAGTTCTAAAACTGCTTTGAAGGGTGGACTAGGTGCTGATATGAGTACATAGCTTGCTTCCCAAAGGGAATATTTCGAAAGTGACTGCAGTGGTATTCGTTAGTGAGGTATGTAGCACTTTTTCTAGGATAAGTTCATGAACTTAACATCAGACTTTGTACATAAACCAGTAACATAGTCTTTTATCATTATCAGGTATTACGTATTGCACAGAAGCGTGAGTGCTATACTTGGGCAGTGCAGGTTTGTTTATACCAGCAGCATCATGTGAGTAATACACTGCATTAAGCTGCAACATTGCTAGGTGATAGGAATTTTCCAGCTGCATTTCATTCTTATGGGACCATCATATATGTAGCCTATCACTCACCAAAATGCCATTATGTCATACATGATTATATGTGCTCATGTGTGTATATTCCCAGAACAGGGCCTGGCACATAGTACTTTGGCAGTGTTGGCTGCCTATTATGTAAATTATTAGGCTCACAAAAATAGCTGATGAATATAGTTTTGAAAGATGCCCATTAAAATGGTGTTTTTTAAGGCAGAGTCTTGCTCTGTTGTCCAGGCTGGAGTGTAGTTATCATAGCTCACCACAACTTCAAATTCCTGGGTTCAAAGAGATCCTCTGGCTTCAGCCTCCCAAGTAGCTGAGACTACAGGCACATACTACCACACCTAGCTAATTTGTCTATTTTTTATCTCATATGTTGCCCAGGCTGATCTTGAACTCCTGGCCTCAAGCAATCTTTCCACCTCAGCTTCCCAAAGTGCTGGCATGAGCCACTGTGCCCAGCAAAAATGGTGTTATTTAATATAATATCCATTAATATTTATCAGCTAGTCCTCCAATGGCTTTAACTGTGTAAATAAAACACAAGGAAGGTTAGAAAGGACAGGAGCCATGACAACTACAGGGGATCAACAGCAGTGTTTGGTCCTTTATTCTCAAGAGCACCATCACGGAGACAAAGGTCCAAGGGTGTTGCTATGGCTAAAGTTGTCAGGGTCCATTAGGATCACTGTGAAATAGGCAACAATCCCTGAGAACAATCAAGTCGTTGATGCTATCATCACCATAAAACAGAAGCAGTATCTACATTCCCCAGGATTTGGTGTGAAACACATAACATTTGGCAGAGCCAACTGGTATCATCTTTTGGGAAAAGGGATATACTAACCAACAATGTCTCATCCTCTGGCCCTCAAAATTCAGCCCAACAGAAAAAAAAGTACTTCTATGTGCTTTGCAGGCCTGGGCTAGCACTTTATATACACTGTCTTACCATTACAATCTCTTTGAGGTAGACATTTTCCCAATTTATAGATGAGAATGCAGGATAATAATCAATGGTAGAACTGCCTAACACTGGAGTGTTCAAAGCCCACGCTCTTCACATTATCAAGAATTAGCAAGAAAGTGTGTTCAGTGGTGTGTACCTGTAGTCCAGCTACTTAGGATGCTGGGGGTGGGGATTGCTTATAAGGCCCAGAGTTTGAGGCTAAAGTGCATAATTGGCACCTATGAACAGCCACTTTATTTAAGCCTGTGTAACATAGCAAGACCCTAACGTGGGTGGACTCTTAGGTAGTCTTATGAATACCATTAACTTGGAAACCTGTCTTGATACCAAAGGGTTGCATGGTAGTTAGATTATGGGAATTTAACATTTTTAATTATAATTTCATCTTCTCAATTAAAACCTAAGCATTGTCAGGGCTAAGGAGAGGGCTTCATACACCGCCCACCCTTCACATACTGCAGTACTTCTTGCAGGTTGTCTAGGCCAACATTTTTCCTGCAGAACTTATCCTATAAGGTGTTTGGCAGGCAACAGGAGAGGGGCTACAAAATTCCAAGTATTCCATACATTTTCATTCAAATTTTTATGTAATACCTACAACATCCTAGGCACTCACTGCTTCCTCTTAGTACTGTTCATTCTCACTTGAGTGAACAAAAATCTCTCAACACTTAATGTCATTGTAGGCTATAGGGCAACAGTATCTTCTTATATGCAGAGGGCAGGGACATGAAGAAATCTGGGAATAAGCCTAGTGCATACCTTAGAAAAACATAGGGGTGAAGGGGTATGGAGTCAAAAGGGTTTTCTGTAGGTCCATAAATGCATGTTTTTATGTGATGAGGAAAATATACATACATCACTGGGGCCAGACACAGTGGCACACACCTGTAATCCCAGCTACTTGGGAAGCTGAGCAGGATTGCTTCAACCCAGGAGTTTGAAGTTGCTGTGAGGTAGGCCGATGCTATGACACTCTAGCCTGGGTAGCAAGTGAGACTGTCTCAAAAAAATAAATAACAAACCTGATTGCTCTGCATTGTCCCACCATAGTCAATTCCTTCCAACTGAGCTATGGTTGTAAGAGATAATAGAGCTCAAATAGGCTGATGCTACTGTATATGGGCAGTATATGTATAAGGCAACCAATCATTTTCAATGGGTACATAGTCAATCCAATTTTAGTCAAATGACATCTCAACTGGAGTATCTTAAAGGGGCAGATCACTCTGGAGAGTCTGCTTTGGGAATGAAGTTAAAAACTAGGGTTGCAATCAATATATTAACTGTTCACCAAACCTGTCAAACTGTAAAATACCATGTCTTCCCCTAAGGAGTCCCACTGAGTAAAGAAATACACAAAACACGTAGATACACAAAGGCAATGGAACGCTAATTACACAAGAGGCACTGATCCTTGCTTTATTCACACAGTAATATCCAACATTAGGAATTGTGTGGGCATAGATACAAAAAAAGGAAAATGGGGTCATAAACAGCAGTTGGCTTTATCATGGCAGTTGATGGCAGCTCAGCCAGTGTGTAGTCCCCTCAGAGAACCCAATGGGTGGAAGGAAAACACCCTCCACTGCTTCACAGCCAAGGTACTTACAACACTTGGCCTGTACTTTAAAATCAAGGGTCACAGTGATTAAAAACAACATGGTCAAGACATTCAGGTCTTAGTGACTGCTCCTGGGCCACTTAATATGAACAGTCTGGCAAAGAGTAAGTGAGGAGTAGCATGTATGCCCTTAGCAAGTGTGAGCAAGGCAGATCGCAGCACAGTGAGGAAAATGTAGCCTTCTCTCAGCCAGTGAAGGCATCCTACAGCCAAGTTCTCAGGAGGCACATCGCCACACAGCATCTCTTGATTTTTCATGTTCATGTTCAAAAGCTACTTTAATTCAGAAAATAGAAAAGCGTTTGTGGAGGGCCATTTTCAATCCCAGAATACACATTGGCAAGGAAAAAGAAAAGCTTTCTTGAACATCTCCACTTGGACTCACAGGGTGATGTGATGTGCTGCACCCACATCACTTCTTCACCAGCAGATCCCTAAGTAGGATTTTTCTTAGTGTTTCAGTTATAGGACACACTTAAAGAGGTTATGTACCTATAACCTCTTAGGGACGGATAAGGAAGAAATTTCTAAAGAGGGAGGGTACCTAGCACCTTGTATTCCCTCATGTGGTTATAGCTGGAGGAGAACTTGGCAGTGAGGTAGTAGCAACAATCCTCACAAAAGGAAAACAATTCAAATCTACATTATCATTTCATGGACAGTAAAAACAGGCAGTCCTTCTAGATCTCTCATTTCCATCACACTCTCATGGGAAGTTGTGCCTACTTTATGTATTTCAAGAGAAGCTGAGAAGTGAAATGGCTATCCAGCTGATGTGCCCTCCAAAGCCGTTTCTTAGGACAAGGATACAGAGACCTTGCCAAAACCCCAGGCACAAACTTTTTTTTTTTTTTTTTTGCTGAAACCACCAAGCACAATTTTTATAGGAAAGAAAACTGAAGGACAAACCAAATTGAAAGAATCACTGTTATAATAACTTTAATTTATCTTGCACTTTACAGAAGTCTATGAACGATTTTAAAAAAGCACCTCCTTACCACATATCACATTTCTCTGACAGGTGTTAAAGTAGGCAATGAGTATATCTGAGCATCGGCATCTTGCAAGGATTTCAGACCAATTAGCCACTCGCCAAAGAACTTGGCAGCTTTTTTATCTTGTTTTTAATACAATGGTATATCCACTCTGATGGCAAACCGTCCAGCCATATCTCCACATCACACTTTGCAAAACTGGTTGTGATTAGCAAATTAGTTAGCTTTGGCACGGAGCTGTGCTCGCTTGCCCGTGACAGCCTGGAAGCCAGTTTTGATACTGGCAACAGAGCATCGAGAATGACAAGTTTCGCACTGTAAGAAATAAAGTCGGGTGTCCTTCTGCAGGATTGTGTCTGGTGATCGGCATGTGTGACAAGTGACATACTCCTCTGCAAATAAAGAAACAATATAAAGCATTAGCTGGTGGCTGTAGTGAGGTATAGGTTTCTGCCCTCTGAAGCACATCTGTACTGAACTCCACAAGCTCATAGAGAGATGAAATTTTACCTGGGCACTCAGTTCAGGGAAGCTTAGCTACTCTAGGGGTAAGAAAACACAATGTATCTTCTATGATGCTTTCTGGACTAAAACATAGGTCAAAAAAGACCCCAAATGCCCCAGCATGCAGAGAAGCTTTCCAGTTGATTAGGTGCTGTCTATGGGAGAGGTTGAGAACAGACATGACATTTTTATGATTAGGAAGGTAAAAAGGGGGGCTAGGGCCAGGCCCAACCACAGGCAGCTTTCTCTGACTTGGCCTTTAGCCCTAAAATCAACCAGCAGCCTCGATCAGCTGGGCCTTCTTAAATCCAAACCCCCTTCCTTGGACCCCTTCTTACCTCTCCATTTCCCCTTCACTATCATTTTCTCCCTGATCATCTTTTCCAGGCTCATTACAAACAAAGGGCTCTTTTCAAAACTGTAGCCTGGTGAGAACATTTCATGATGTAATGAAATTAAATTATATACTTACTGATATATCTTCTCAAGACATTTTCTATCTGTTTCTGTTGGAATCTTCCTTTGATTACAAGCTGATTATTACCATCTATAGAGCCACTAGAAAGAAAACAAACAAAAATATCTCTATTAGTACTGTTTTGTCCTAAAGAAACCAAATGCCAACACCTTTATACTTAAAAATTCAAAATTATTTTCAGTAGGCCAGGTGCAGCAGCTCATGCCTATAATCCTAGCACTTTGGGAGGCTGAGGCAGGTGGATCACTTGAGCTCACGAGTCTGAGACCAGCCTGAGCAAGAGCAAGACCTCCACCTCCATTAAAAATAGAAAAACTAGCTCAGTGTTGTGGCCAGTGCCTATAGTTCCAGCTATTTGGGAGGCTGATGCAAGAGGATTTCTTGAGCCCTCAGAGTTCGAGGCTCCTGTGAGCTATGAGGACATCACAGCACTCTACCCACGGTGACAGAGACGCATGTCTCAAAAAGAAACAAAATATATTCAGTGGCATAGGATAAATTCTAGGATCAGCGCTATACTATCTGGTTTCTCAAATTTTATTTTTTATTAAGTAGTTGGTGCCTGATGACTTAACCTGTACTAACATTAAATCTAATTTCAACCAATAAAATCACCTATGACAATCAGACTTAAAATTGATTGTAAGTCTAAAACAAACGGATTCCTTAATTGTGTGTGACAGTCCACTCATCCGACAAAGGAATGCAAACTTTATTATTATTATTTTTTTGCAGTTTTTGGCCAGGGCTGGGTTTGAACCCGCCACCTCTGGCATATGGGGCCGATGCCCTACTCCTTTGAGTCATAGGCACCGCCCAGGAATGCAAACTTTAACTGAAAGTATGCCATGGGAAAAGCAAAGGTGGGAGCTGTAAATAGAAAAATGTGAAAGGAGCTATATATCTTAAAATTCTAAATACCATATATTTTGATTCAATCATGGTTAAAAGTATAGTTGGTGAAAATATACTAAAATTGATTGTGGTTGGTAGTTATGCACATTAATTTTAATATGTGAACATATTAAAAACCATTGAATTGTATACTTTAAATATCTGAGCTGTATCACAATAAAGCTGTTACAAAAAAAGAATAGATGAAATGCCAGGTCACAAATTATCAATGTTACTTAAGGGTAAACTTTTTGAGAAGAAGCTATTTACAAGCACTTTTGACAAAACAAAGCTTTGCACTAGATACTAGTATTTGTTAAAAATTACAAATCACAAAGTAAAACAGTAAAATTCAGTCAGGCAGAGTTAAATTTATATTTGTTCCGTATGTCATCATAAAACTGACTTTCGCCAAGAATCTCTCCTGTGATTCTCCTTTAACTATAAGGGTTTAATATCATCCTCCATGGACTGTAAACCTTAATCTCCAGGCTACGTTGATTCCAATGCTTGATGTAGAAATTTTTTTCATTCACTGTCAAAAGAAATTGAATTTTCTCAACAACCCTATAATATTTAAACAACTGACCTAAGTTTACTGGTCACAATTTGTTATAATTTACCCCACCGCTAAACAAACTGTAGATTATTCTGAGAAGTAGAAAAAACACTGCTAGCTTTTGCACCCATTCATGTAAGTTAAAATAAACAATGATTGCAACATATTTATATTACTTTTTTTCTTGGATTTTATACCCGAAGAACAAATTTGTATTTAAAACAATTCTTCTACTACAGAGCCTACATATCCACCATGGTCAAGTAACCTATTCCTTAACTCCACAGTTAGTATAGCAAATTCCAACAAACCGACTTTGGAGAGAGAAGGAAGAAATCACACCTAAATTATCTCTGTACTGACTGCAAGACACAGGTATTTTAAGAACTCAAGCTCCAAAGGTAAGTAGACCTGATTTAGATCTTGACTGTGACACTAACTAGCTCTTTGACCAACTACAACCTCACTTCTTCTAAATATGAAGACAGAGATATTCCTTTCTACTTCACAGAACTATAGTAAAAATTGAAATGGCAACCAAAAATATACCTGGCACAATGTTTGGCACACAATAAGTGCTCAGTATGCACTGACCGCATATTGGTGTTATATCATCCTGCTTTTAGTCATCATTATTATGACTTAAGTCTACATTACTTTTTTTTTTTTTTTTTTTAGAGACAGAGTCTCACTTTGTCACCCTTGGTAGAGTGCCATGGTATCACAGCTCACAGCAACCTCCAGCTCTTGGGCTTAGGCAATTCTCTTGCCTCAGCCTCCTGAGTAGCTGGGATTACAGGTGCCTCCCACAATGCCCAACTACTTTTTGTTGCAGTTTGGCTGGGGCCAGGTTCGAACCCACTACCCTTGGTATATGGGGCCAATGCCCTACTCACTGAACCATAGGTGCTACCCTATATTACTTATTTTTTTAAGGGACATTTGGTTTCCTGTCCTGACAAGATGTCCTGGCCTTTCTGAATGGGGATGGACTAGCTCAGTGCCTTCAATAGGTGAGCTATTTCATCATGGGTCCCTGTTTCAGAGGGGTTTTTCTCATGCCACTAATCACCTTGCTATACCTTTTCAATAGCTTGCTGTCAATTAAGAAAAAATTTCTGACTTCCTCTAAAACCTAAAACATGCTCCATTAAAAAGACCCAAGAAGCCGGGCATGATGGATCACCTGAGCTCAGGAGTTTGAGACCAGCAAGAGTGTGACCCCATCTCTACTAAAAATAGAAAAACTAGCAAGGCGTTGTGGTGAGCACCTATAGTCCCAGCTACTTGAGAGGCTGAGGCAAAAGGATCACTTGAGGCTCAGTGCTTGTAGCTCAGTGGCTAGGGCGCCAGCCACATACACTGGTGCTGGTAGGTTTGGACCCAGTCTGGGCCTGCCAAACAATGACAACTACAACAACAAAAAAAGCCAGGTATTGTGGTGGGCACCTGTAGTCCCAGCTACTTGGGAGGCTGAGGCAAGAGAACTGCATAAGCCAGTGGTTCTCAACCTTCCTAATGCCCATGACCCTTTAATACAGTTCCTATGGGTCGCAATCCACAGGTTGAGAACCGCTGGCTTAAGCCCTAGAGTTTGAGGTTGCTGTGAGCTGTGATGCTATAGCACTCTACTGAGGGTGACATAGTGAGACTCTGTCTGGGGGAAAAAAAAAATGGGTAACTTGAGCCCAAGAGTTTGAGGTTGTTGCAAGCTATGACGCCTTGGCTCTTCCTACCCAGGGCAACAAAGTGACACCCTGTCTCAAAAAAAGAAAAAAAAAAGTTGACAGAAAATTCTAAGCACAGATGTGTAGTACTCATTTTGGCAGACCAACAAGCCTACTCAGAGGGGCTGTTGTCAACTGTACCTCATTTTTAAGCAGCCAAGCTCTCCCTCAGAAATGGAGTGATTCACTCCTCCATGGCCTAAAAATTCCTCTAATAATCAGGTGAATGATTTTCTTTAAGCATGTTTTCAACAGGTTATGTTTCAATGTTACATAACCATTTCAACCTTATGAAATGTCCAGCAGTACTATACATAAAAGCGAATATAATTTCTTACCTTGTACCCAATTCAGCCAATAAAAATGCAAGGAGATGTTTTGGCTGACGATGTAATCTAGAAAGAAAATCAAATATATAAACTTTATCTTGCATGAAAACCTCTTGACAAAATTCCTAAAATACCATCCTGTTCACTGTTCTGATCTGTGATTATTAATCTATCAGATGAATTTCACTGCAGTTTATTTAAACTATGAAATGAAAATGTATAATGATACCACTTATTTACATTTCAATGCCCGTAAGACAGTATTACATTTCATGTATACCACATACATATATATGAGTAAATATCTAGAAACATGGGTAGAGGCTGGGCATGGTGGCTCAGGCCTATAATCCTAGCATTCTGGGAGACCCAGGTAGGTGGAATGCTTACGCACACAAGTTCGAGACCAGCCTGAGCAAAAGCGAGACCCCATCTCTACTAAAAATAAAATACTGAGACAAGAGGATGGCTTGAGCCCAAGTGTTGGAGATTGCTGTGAGCTATGATGCCATAGCACTACCCAGGGTGACAAAGTGAGACTCTTGTCTCAAAAAAAAAAACAAAAAACAAATAAAAAAAAAACCACGGAAGAAAAGGTAAACACTAACTTAGAGAATAACATCTTCCTCTGAGAAGGAGAGAGAAATGAATTAAAAAGATACAAAGGTGGCCTTAATTTTAACTTTAAAACCCTTTTGAGAAGTAAAAAGATCTGAAGGAAATGTGTCAAAAGGTCAAACCTAGGTGATGAATACTTGCCATGTTTGTTATGCTAATCCATATATATTTCCTATTTAAAATTTTTTACTTAAAAAAAAATGACCAGATATACAGAGGGTACCAAAAAAATGTACACACAATTTAAAGAAAGGAAAAACTATACTAAAATTTTAATACTTAAGTCATACTTGACTTCTGCATTTATATGATACAATATGTAAGATAACAAATGTTATTGGTATATATTGAATATTAGAATCTTTTTTTTTTTTTTTTTGAGACAAACCTCAAGCTGTCCCCCTGGGTAGAGTCCCGTGGCATTACAGCTCACAGAAACCTCCAACTCCTGGGCTCAAGCGAGTCTCCTGCCTCAGCCTCCCAAGTAGCTGGGACCACAGGCACCCCCACAACGCCCGGCTATTTTTTGGTTGCAGCCGTCATTGTTGTTTGGCGGGTCCGGGCTGGGGATTCGAACCCACCACCTTAGGTGTACGTGGCTGGCGCCTTAGCCAGTTGAGCTATAGGCGCCGAGCCTAATATTAGAATCTTGACACAGTTTTTTCCTTTCTTAAAATATGTATACATTTTGGGGGCAACTTCTATATATGTTGAGAGAAGTATAGGCAGTCCCCCAGTTATGAATGAGAAAGGTTCTGTAGGTTTGTTCTTAAGCTGGAACAGGTACATTTACCTATTACCTATAATAGCCCTCATTTGTAAGTGTGAGTCAAATGTTAGGTGGATATTTGTAACTCAGTGACTTACTACTGTAACAGCCTCTGTTTATAAGTGCAAGTTGAACATTAAATCCGATATTTGTGACTCGAGGACTGCCTGTAGTCCATTCCTTAGTAGCACAACAGCAAAAAGATGAAAAAAGCTCAAATATTTACCAAACAGGGGGTGGGTGTGGGTGTTAAATCATGGGACATCCATTCAATGGTATGTTATCCTGCTTTTAGAGTAAAACAGCTCCCTAACTCCCTTCTCAAAGTATACAAATATACAAAATAAAAAACACAAATACAGAACAATGTCACTCAATATATTTACTTTTTAAATCTGCACAATGATACCATTTCAACTTGTCCCAGTAAGTTGATACTACTATAATTTATTTTTTCCCAAAATGCAACTGGTTGAGACTTGTTGAAAATATTAAAAAGAAATAAGTTCCTACACTGCTGGTGGGAGTATAAACTGATACATAACTGCTGGAAAGCAATTTGCCAATGATTGCTATAATAATATACATTCTTTCTTTTTAACTTTAGAATTTCATTTAGGGAATTTTTGCCCTTAAGGCGCGATTCCAAGCTAATACAAGATATATAAAATACATATATATGTGTGTATATATGTATACACATAAACACACATATGTATATATATATAAGATGTTCTCTTTGATAATAAAAACCTGGAATCAACCACATCCAACTTAAGGAACCGTTAAAATATGCTGCTATTTAAAACACTTATGAAGACTACTGTATTTTGCCATGTATAATGTGCTCCCATGTATAAGGCACACCCCTATTTTGGCCCAAATTTATTAAAACACCCTTTAATAAAGTGGCCAGCTTTCAGCCAAGAAAGACACATCTGGGAGGGCTATTGGTCCCCTGATAAAAATGCAGATCACATCACTCTCCCACATCTGCTGGCTCTGTGAAGGCTGCCCCCTGTTTCCCCGACCCAGAGGGCTATAGATGAGATGGCTACTTGTGTGACTGGCATGACAGAAGATTCTAAGGCCACTTGGCTAGCAGGCAGCCAGAAGGGTCCTTGGGGCCTGAGTGGGACTCCTGGTCCCACCTGTGGCGGCCAAGCCTCAGGCCTCAGCTCCTGCCCCTTCCAAATGCAGTGCTTGGCAGAGGCTGCTCCAGCCCACTCCCAGAATCTCCTGTGTGCCCAACAAGCCCAGCAGTCCTGGGAGGCCTGCTGGGGTCCCCCACTCCTGAGCTGTACTACCCATGTATAATATTAGTCCATCCTTATTTTTTCCTCAAAAATTTAAGTAAAAATATGCATTATACATGACAAAATACATGGTATTTTTTTTTGAGACAGAGCCTCAAGCTGTCCCCCTGGGTAGAGTGCCGTGGCATAGCTCACAGCAACCTCCAACTCCTGGGCTCAAGCGAGTCTCCTGCCTCCACCTCCCAAGTTGCTGGGACCACAGGCACCCGCCGCAACACCTGGCTATTTTTTTTTTTTTCGGTTGCAGCCATCATTGTTGTTTGATGGGCCCAGGCTGGATTCGAACCCGCCACCGTAGGTGTATGTAGCTGGTGCCTTAGCCACTTGAGCCACAGGTGCCAAGCCAATACATGTTATTTTAATAACATTCACAATATTCATATTAATATATTGAGATAATGGGTTAAAAACCAGTATGATAGCAGTTTATTTTAAATATGCACATAAAACTGCATATGAAACATAAAACATAAAACATAAAAACAATAAACTATGGCTATCCATTTTTTAATGGTAGACTTTTCAGATGATTTTTCATTTTTTTAGCATGTCTTCATTTTCTAGTTTTTCTAAAATGAACATATACAATCACTGTCATTAGCAAAAAGGTCTAAAATATTTTAAGTAATAGTAATGAAAACAAGTGATTATCATTGGGAGGTGGAATTTTGAGTGATGGTCTCTTTTGTTTACCATGTTTTCTACAACAAGCACGTAGCAACATGAAATTAAAGAACAAATAGTAGATAAGGTCAGTGGACAGAAAATGTGTGGCCAAGGAGCTCTAAGTCAGGCCAAGACAGTAACCTAAGGGTGGCAACAGCATGGAATGTAAGGAAATCTAACAAATAAAATCAGGGCAACCTGGTTTCTTGTACCCTCAATGAATCCCCAACAATAAAAAAAAAGAAAAAAAAAGCTGAAATCTCATCAATTGTGTCCTGTCCAACAGGGATACCAAATTCAGCCACTTTTCAAGGAGCTCACAGGTTGTTTGGAAGACCCAACCCAGAATGATTAATGAGGCTACCCACATTATCGGATCAGCTTCCCCATTCTTCACTCCATCTGATTAGGGTCCACCCTCGTGGGTCAGCAAAAGTTGACTTCTCTTACCTCTGGATGCCCAGATAAAATGAGCCCTATGCATCAAAAGAACTGATGAGAGTTTTAACTATGAACTCCCTCAACTTAATTCCTACACCTGTGCCTTCTTTCTGCCTACACTAAAGTCCAGAATAAGGACATATTAACATCCTTAAAACTTCACTGAGAATCTGATATTTGGGATGAAGGTTCTCCAATAACCAACTTACAGTTTACAGATATCTGTGAAGTTAACAAAAGAAGTTTTCTTGGTTCCTACTCGGACGACCTGTGGAGGTTTCATGACGAATTTCCTTTTCTCTCCAGCAACCATAT